AAGTGAAATCAAAAGCCCATATCCTGGCGACTCAAAATTTTTTTAGAAATATACTGTGCAGAAAACAATATTGCAACCGCACCGACGTAATTCTTCCTAATCGAAAATGCATTTAAGAATTTTGAGCAACGTTTCATGAAAGCGGTCACTCATTGTATGTCTGCTGTTAAACTGGGTTCCTTAAAATGGCTTGTGATGTCATTATTATAACTAACAATGAGGCTGTAAAGACGGCACCTGAGTTGCCGTTAAAAAATCTCGTGCATCTGAGACGGAGGTCAGGTCGTGTGTGGTACGTATAGAAAAACCCCTCATTTTTGTCTGATCGTGCACTAACTAGGCATGTTTTCGTCGTCAGAATGGAATAAGCAAATTTGGGGATACGCGTTCATAGATGCTTTGCCAATCTATCCTAGCATAAACGTATTCGCTTTTAAGTCTCTGCTGTTGGACCTGTCTAGTGGAGCAGCTGTTAAAGTGTTCGATTACAGCGGTTGAACTTATAACTCCAGGTTTCCATTTATCATTACTTTTCGGATCGGAATCTTTCACATAAAGCAGAACTGAAAATGGGAAACTGGTGTTTTCTAGTAGAGGTATAGACTTGTGTTTCTGAGATTCGTGTGTGCTACTTAGCCCTCGCAGTAATTTTACCAAGTGATAGAAATTTGACTGGGGTGAAATAGTTTAATGACCCGATTGTAAGGATGATATTTTTAAGGATTTGTAAACAGTCGTATAACGCGTAACTGCTTACTTCAGCCTCCTCTTTTGTAGAAGTGATAAAGTGCCAGTCTAGTTTTATGTCATTCATTTCCGGATCCACAATACGGTCTGCCGGCTCGTCTGTTTTCTCGAAAAAAGCGACGTCTAGTTCACAAATAGAAACATTAAATCTGTATGAATGCCTAAAGAACTCAGTGCGCTATGAACCTAACCGTTTGAAGTAAGAAGAAAAACAATGGCTTTCGAGTGCAAAAATAAAATATGATAATTTGTTTACAATGCGTTTCTCCCCGTCTCTGAGCAAATTGACACTGATACTGTCTTTATTGCTTCATTGAGAATGTTAACATTTAATGTTAAAGTACAAACGTACCCAACCAGAATACGAAATACTCCACAATCACAGACACCTCATTCACGTCGATCCAGCAGGAATATCCCTCAAATATTTCTGTAGTTAATTCTGCCGTAATACTCACTGATTGTAGGTTCGATGTGGCTACGAAAATAATCATGTGTGTTCAACGGATATTTAGTAATTAAAGCCGATCCTTTTAAAATGTATTGCAGTATGACTGATACTGGATAATTAGGCGCTATGAACAACTTTTTTAACAAAACAACTGCGTAAGTTTGGGGTCGGAAGCCATGCATTTTAAGAATTTATGATAGCGTAACTGCAAGCAACAGCCATCAAAAAACTGTTTTAAAACAAGGCCGGCTGGCCGTTTTCTTGGTTTTAATCTTACACCCAGCAGTAATGCAATATGTTGCAACACTTCCTCATAAATTTGGTCATAAACAACGCTTACAGTCGATTATTTGCGCAAAACAATGCTTTTCAAGTAGTATGCACTCAACTCCCTGCTTTGCAAATACGAAACAGGTGCAAAAACACATTTAGCAATGCTTAGGAACATTCAGCGGCCTACTGCTTTGGAAAGGAATAGTTTAATTAACCTTTTTTACTTCAATATTTATTTTCGGTTACAGTCGAAAACCTGAGCATTTTGTCACCAGATTTTACTGACCAGCCAACTTTTATTTACAGAGCGATTCCTGAAATTGGCCGCTGGTTTTTCAAATATGGCCATCTCAATTTATGCAACTTTTTACAAATCGAACGCCTAAATAACCAAATGAAAAAAGGATGCGAAAAAATTACATTTGCACTTTTCACGGGATTAATTTTCCGACTGTACTATATTACGTAAGCTCGTGGATATCTTGTCATTTTATGACGTTAGGTCACTTTGATTTCGCTATTTCTTTTCGTTGCTGCACTCTGATCAGGATGTCTCTTTATTTTGATGGACATAATGTTTGCCTTTATATTTAGTGGAATTAAATTTGCATTGTTGGTTGTGCATCGCTAAGTGGTTGAATATGTGCAATCTGATTTAGCCTATAAAAATTAAAAGGCATTGTAAATGAGTTCCTAAAAATCACCAACAAATTTTTAACTCAATGCTTAGACGGAAAATGGTAGAACAAACAGGGTGATTGCACAATAAGTGATCAAATATTTGAAAAAATTATGACACTTTGTGCTACATAGAACGGTTAAAATAAAAGTCCCCTGACAAAGCTTCATGCATAAACTGTACTTCGGGTACTTTGGATCGCTGCTGGATATGTAAATTTACAAACGTAATCGCAAGTATCCCTTGGCAAGCTCAAACAATTTGACGGAATGATTCCAACGTATATATGATTCAAAATTGTTAAAGTACGTCTTTAAATGTTGTCTCTGACATAAAGGTAACTGCTCTAGTCTACTTTAACTGTTCGCGACTATTTTTGTACTAATGCCTTCATTGTTTTCCTCACTTGCCCAATGTACGCACACCTAATTAATTAATATGTTTGTCGCAGCGGAGCATGCTTTAAAGTACTGATTATGATAAGCAAAAGTAAACACTTACGCTCTAACGTAGCATATTTTTCGTAGAAGTTTTCTTTTTCGACGCAGCTAACCTTCAAAAAACGCAATAGAATGCTTGCTTAATGGCAAATAGGTAATCCAATATTCATTTATGAAAACCACTCAGTATCATACAAGCATTTTGTGTGAAAAGGCAACAACCGCATACCTTATCAACTCCCTCTGGTTTTGTCACCATCCAAAACAAATCTGTCATATGATTGCGCAAACAGTGAACAACAGGATCCTGTCGTTGAAAGTATTCTGTCGAAATAATGACATGAATCACTGGGTCGTGCATAAGTGGTGTTTAAATGATTTTAAATGAAGGATCACTTAGCGGAGATTTTATGCTTACGAATGGACAAAATGTTATCGCAATCATGTTCTAAATAGCCCATTATAATTATTCTAAGATGGCGCTCCAAAAACAATTGCAAACATGTAAAAACTTTTTATTTAAAAGAAACGAACTGAGTGAGCATTCTAACATTCCCTCTATCACAGTGAAAATTTGTGTCGTTTGATTTCTTTGTGACTATTATAGAGGATGCATGTTTGGCTGCTTAATGACTTCATTCAGACAGTGGGCAACGATTTCATGAAAAGCGATGATGGAAATCTGAACTACTATTCTAGATTATTTTGAACGTTCTGCGATATACTTTCCAGGTTTGCGTCTTCTTAAAATGTTTTTTTTATACAGAATATGCGCGTGTACATGTTTTTTCTTTCCGGGAAACATTAAAAAAAAGTCAGTTTCAGAGTACGCGCGTTTCCGACCACTCATCCTTAGATGTGCACAGTGATCAAGAGTTACGATGAAGCAGCCAAAATTAAAATTACGAATAAGCATTATTGAGGAGGAAAGGATTAATAGCGTTCAGATAGGTTGGTTGAAGCCACTTTGGCACACAATAACACAACATTGTCCATAGGACACACTTGATTTAATCAAATCCGTAATCGGTACGAATCTCAAAGGAAAAACAATGCTGTTCTACAATCGCTCGCCTTTCTCCCTTAAACCCCCTATAAATAAACGAGAAAATGTTTGTATGATGAGGTCGTTAAGCAGGATTCCTCAGTCGCATGCTGGTTGTAGACCAAAAGACACTGCTCTCTCGCGCATGTTCAATTCAGATCCGATGGTGAATTTTATCATTAGATCAACGGCTCAGCGATGAGATCACCCAGCTTATGTCTTGACGAAAAACCCGGAGAAAAACCAGCTCCTCCAAATTATGAAGAATCTTTATCTGACGTGAATTTGGACACGCTCTATGATAGACATAATATGGCTCCCTCAAAGATTCACTTCACTTTGAAAAAAGGAAATTGTAAGTGTCCGTCTTTTCTATCGCAATCGCGGCTCAGTTGGTATACAGCGGCCACTGGGTAGAAGTCAGCCAAGGGTCCAGAATCAACCCTAAATTACCGATAAAACACTCCAAGTTCCTCCACCAGCAGGCAATTGCGACGGCAGACGCATTGACCATAGGGATAGCCAGCCCAGTCTTTTGCTCACAGAAGGTTCTCGTACATGCCCCTAAAACCACCATGGCCCAAGATGAGCCTACGTGGACAACAGAGATGAAATTCAAGTCTAGCTTATCCCCATAATCCTTACCCCCCCTCCTAAAGTCCCTAAGAGGACCGACCTGTCTGAACGCTGTCAACATTCTTCCTATAAATACTACTCACTGCCTGTTTTTCCTTCGTTATTTTAGCCTAGAGAGGCGAAGATGAATAATAAAAATTTACGTTCGTTGAAACTCACTGTGTGCTTAATTTAATATAGGACATTTATCAACCACGTTCGGGGTATTTAGTCGGATGATTTTGTGCTTTACTGCTAGATTGAACAGCAACATATTTTGGTCAAGTATTGTCAAATGTCTTTGATACTAAATCACTTGCAACAACTTGAAATTATAATTTATTGTAGAAAGAATCTAATTATTAACTTTTAATAATCATTATTGCCTCAATTGAACGGCAGCTTAGCTAGCGAATAACGGAGCACAAACGGAGAGTCCTTGAGAGGCGACCCACTGTCTCAGGTTGCTACTTACATCCTCGAGGAAGGTCATGAGTTCAACTCCGCCAACACACGGATATGTGGCGCTGACCATCAATAAGACAGGACGGGAACGGTTGCAGGCCTGGATGTCTGACACCAACTTCATTAACAGACACTTTGATATATCCCAATGCTATCATGCGTTCTATTCTCGCTCCTGTGACCTCTGCCCCCTGACTGGTTGTCGTAATCGCTGCAAAATCTGTGTGCCCATGGGCCCTCCCCTTACAAATGGATGGACTGATCAGCTGCCGTCACATGTGCGAATCACGCTAGGCTGTTTGGATGTGCCGGTGGGGCGATGTCTCGCGTTGGTCGTGTGACCTCTGACTGGCGCTTTTCCCTGCTGTGGAGGAGCCGCGACTCGCTTGCCAGTACCGTCGGCTCCGTCAGGACTGACTGAATCCTTGTATGTAGCGCCTGGTAGGCCGGATGAAGATCAATAGCCCTGTTGATTGTGCCAACTGAGGACCGGCTTTCGAGCACCAGCATAGCCATCTTGTCATGGGTTCGACCGAGGACGCCTGCTTCCCCAAGGGCGAAACTGTGTTTCTCCTGTTGCATGTGACCATATACCAGTAACAGTTTATCCTCGCGGTTGACTGCAAGCTGGTGCGCATGCAGTCTTGTGCGGAGGCGTTTCCCGTTTCACCAACATGCCTTGCATCGCAGTTTTGGCGCGGTATGCTGTTGACCAGTGCTGATTGTTCCGTTGCCGGTAGCAGGCCTTGGAGTCCCATTATCTGCTGATTATCGTCAAGGATGGGCTCGCGTGAGAGTTCGAAATGTCGGATAAATAAACCATGTGTCCCAGCTATCGCCTTCCCGTCTTCTTCTATATATGCATATATATATCCCGCATCAGTGTCCAGCCGCCATCATTCCCACAGATCCGGATTTCCCCCGCTCTTTCTCCACGTCCAACACAGGAGCCCTGACGGTTCTTCCATCCTTTCCCCTGCCCCACAGCTTACCATAACTCGTTGCCCACTCCTCTTACGTGTCAGTTGTCTGTTTGTCGTTGTCTGTCCTGTCGCGCCAGCCACCCCAGTCTGCCGATTTCACTGTCTCCTCTGTTTATTTCTTCTGACGACGGATCGGTGTCGCCAAATTGAAAATTTACGAGTACGACTTGCTTTTCCGAAGCATTTTCTGTTTTTCATCATAGGTCCTCGGAATATATATAGACTGTTGACAACACAATTTATGAACAAAACCAAAAGTATGTATGGTAGAAATTGAGCTAGAGTTATGGCAGAGCTTTTTCGTTTACAAAACTGCTAGGCTAATTACAATCCTTACCAGTTTAAGGCAATGCCTGTTTGTTCTGTTCAAAATATTCAGACACTTTTCCGTACGAAAGAAAAAACTAAAAGAAAAATTCACTCACTTTCTTTTGCATATATACTTCGTCTTCGGTACACACCTCCAACATGCAAATTGTTGTTTGAATTTACGTATATAGCATCGACTCCTCCTATGTCAAGGATTTGCATATGCAACCAACAAAAGTATTGTTCTGTTCCAAATAGAAGGCGAAGGTTCAAAAGAAAGGTTTTATTAGATAAAATCGATTCTTGATTATTGGAAAATCTAATGTAATCAGTATTTACCCAGCTTGTCATTTCATAATCTGCCTTATTTTTGGCTACTAAATCCAGATATCCGGTACATGTAAAATGAAATATCAGTAAGTGAGTGCAGTGATAGGACAAGTTTCATACCACAGTTAAAGAGGCGGCCGGATGTAAGTCGCAAAATGAAAACACAAAGGATTAATACTTAAGTATTTTTGTACATCGAAATATTTTGGCAATTCTGTTTATCCACTTTGATGTTCTTCTAAGCCTCAGTTTTAAGCGCACTGCGATGGACTCAAGCTCGACAGATTTTTCTAATGAGGAACATGCGCTGGGATCGTCGAACAAACTCCCTGATTCCACCCCCAGATCCCAGTCCGCTGTCCAAGGGGGCACGTAGTCGGATGTAGAGAGTGAACGCAGTGGCTGACAGAACTAGAGAGCTTGTCTTCTCGCGCCTCATGCGCGACCTGACCCTCAAAAGCGAGTGCATCGGGATTATGTGCACAAAATGGAGGCGGACCGGATTCCACACGTGTGAAAGTATTCAATGAAGACCATCACAGTCTGACTGTCAGTCAAAAAATCGACCATATGACACCTGCTCCCACACAAACCACTGAACTGACTGTGTGATCTGGGTCAAAATGTTAATTGGTAGTCTTCCAAACCGTAGCTTCTAGCGCAACATGATAGACTTAAGCGCGTCAGATTATTCGTAGGGTGGAGCTATGCGCTGAGAGTCGACCTAATTCGTTCTAACCGATTCCGAACACTCAGTTGCCTGTCCATGACGGTCAACCAACTGAGACTGAGATTTAGAGAAATGACTGACAGCTTCTCTGCGCGTGCCACGCACACGACCCAATCCCCATACCAATAAAAGGGTAGGCTGCTCGGGTCTTACATACAACTGGGAATCACAGAGGAGAAGAGAGCCTAAGCGCGTATTCCCTCTAATGTGGGAGGTGCCAGTGGTGTGGGGTTTTGGAGGTTTCTGTGTGCGATAAAAGCGCCAATGTGGGAAGTTGTGGTGACGCAGTCATATCTGCACTTATTTGAAACATATGTTATGCCAGTTCATACAATGGCTGAGTGTTCGAGCTCAATGCTTGGTGTTGAAACGGCAGCGTCCTGTGTAGTTTGATACAACATAAAAGAAATCGAACAAGCGCTTACCGCATTCATATGGGCATGGAAAGGATACATCTTCTCTTCCGGTACGAATGCAAACGCCATCTCTTATCACATAGTACTCTGGTCTTTGTGCAAAAACGACTTGCTAGGAAAACAACGAGAAAGATGTGCAGAAAGGTGAGTAATTTCAACTTAAATATGCAAAGCTGCCTTCGGGTTGTACGATACACAATACTTGACAGAACAGGAGCTAACGGAATGCCCAAACACGCGTGTTGCGCCAATATTCTGCCCCTGCATGATACAGCTTCGAGGAATAACGGTCATCAGTGGGGCCCCCAGCGTTCGCTCTGTGTTTTCCGGTAGATACTCCAGGATTGGAATTTGCACTTTTTACTCTCCTCACAATTTCCTCGCTAACTTTGTGTAAATCAGTAGGGAGTAAACTTTGAAATGGCAGATTTTTAATTTCCCCCGAGATTGAAGGTCAACTTGAACAAAATTAGTCCGAGTTTATACGTCTCAACTAGACTGATCTACTCCAAAAGAGCGATTAATTTCTGAAGAGATTAAAATGCAAAAATTCAAAACCTGGTGTAGACGTCGGGAAAACTCCTACGTTACTAACTTGCATGACGACTCAACCCTGTCAGGCAGGGACAGATAATCGATAAGACACGGTGCTGGGCCTTTAACCAGTAGCGATCACTTCGGTATAAAAGATCATGCAACATGCGGGTAGATATTTATTTCTTCTTAATGATATATTTATAAACTAGTAGTCTACCTCTACTTTTTAACGCCCAACGCTGCGAACGACTCAGCTTCACTGACAATAAAAAGCGTTTTCCTGCAACAAAGTTTGCAACAGTCAAGAAAACAGGGTCACTAATGGATGCCGAGTATGTTTGATTTTCTTGAGTGTTTTTTTACGTGATTTTGCTGTACATAATTTGCGCTTGCATCCGATGTTTACTGACTTTTGACTGTTGCATAAACACACATCTTAGAGGACATATTACACTGGTCATGCCTTTTTTAAAATTAAATACAAAAAAAACTAGAAAACTGATGGAAAACCTTTCGGTTTCTTTAATATATCTTTAGTGATGTCATTATTCACATTGAGCGTTGTTTTATTTTTTGCGGCGTTTGATTACATAGGCCATTTTTCGAAAAAATTGCAATCTTAAATCTCATAAGGCAAATAAAACGTTGTAAAACATACTGTGGGCACTTTCAGGGTAAGCACAGTGATGTTGAGTGGTCCCGAGTACTGAGAAATGTGTGGATGGGCATAGTTACACACGGATGGCAGAGCACCTTAAGATAAGTTTATTTACTTGGCCGTTGCGATAACGCAGTAATTAAGCAACCATCAAAACTTTGAGCAACATAATAGCAATACAGTTGTAAACTTGAAATGAGTTTGTCAAAATTTGTAAAGCAGGAAGGTTTTCAACAACCTGTTTAGATCTGTACCACATTTAACATACCTGCACTACAAAGTTCCAACTGAAAAAGAAAAACAAGGCATTTCGACATGACTAAGACTGGGAGGCGTCCCATTTTCAAAGCATAAGGCATAATCTATTATGTAAATAGAGTTTTTTAGCCAGTAATTGAAAGCTGCCTTAATGGCCAATCATACATCTGCGTTGATAACTGCTTTTTACGTGTCTGCAATAGCATGAATACCGCTGACTATTGCTTAAATTGCTTTTACTTTGATGACAGCGCAATGATTGTTGCATATTCTTTAAAAAGAACTCGCATAAAAACCTAAACTTCCAAAAATGTTTCTGCATAAAACTTACAGCCTTCACGATAACCCAGTCGAACTGCACAGTAGGTTATGTATTCTGCTGCTCCCAATATATTTATTTTAATTTATGAGTTTTGAGGGCAGACACTATCCTCGGTTATTATTGAGGGAGATGTATCCCTGTACTTCGAAAGTAGTATTACTCCTACCCCCAAATACAATTACCTCCCTATATAGATCTGAGACCCTCCAGGTTGCTCATATGCCGTAGAACTGCAAATTTGCCTATAAACGCTTCCTCAATGTTTATTTTAATTTATGGTTTTTGCGGGCGGACATTATCCCTGGTGATAAATTAAAGAAGGCATATTCTGTTACTTTGACAATCTCGTCTTCCTTACTGCAGATAGTACGTGCACGAAGAACGGGTTTAAAAAAAATTTCGCTGTTTTCGAAGCAGACGACGGGGTAACTCTACTCTTACAAAGGTTAAGGTGTTTTTTCCTCTTCATTTTTTATGCATGTGCTGGTTACCTATGTAGACACAAAGCTCCAAATGCGCTGTACAGTAGGTCTAGACATTTACTTTCGCAGAAGAAGCAGAGCCGAAGTTGTTGCCAGGCGCCGTTGACCTGAACTTGCTAGAAAAGGTCACAGGAGACTGACAGAAGGCAAGCTCTGTCTGACCAATAGGTCAAGAAGGTCCGATCAGAAGGAGTTAGGCAAGAGGCGTAGGCTTTAACCGAAAGCCTTCTGGAGGGAGTATATTCATGTCTGCTAGAAGCCAGTTCCAGTTTGAAACAAGAATTAGGGCCTTCCCACTAGACATTGCCCTGTGCCTGTACCCAATGGGTAGTTATTCCCGTGTCCAAAGAATAACCCTAACACTTAACGTAATCCTACTTCTCATAACTCTAATCCTACCATTAATGCCAAAAATCCTAACGTTAGTTCGCGTCGGAAAATGTAGGTGGGCGGCTTGGGGACCTGAATGAAATTATTTTGTGCGTGTAGGACCGGGTTAAGTTGACTCATATCAGTTTGTCTACTATTATCATAG